TCTTTCCAGGACTTGGCTCACAGACCTTTCTCTGCCTGTTGGGGTAGTGGCGGGGGATGTGTCTTGCCCCTTGTGCTTGGTAAACCCTTCCTTCAAGACTTAGCGCCTCCCCACTGTCAGGTGTGATAAATGTTTGCGGAATGGATGAATGGATGGCTTGATGCACAAAAGGTGAGATTAAATATATTAAGTGCTAGAGAATACCAGATGGTCAAGACTCAAAATGGGTGGAGAGATTAGGGCAGTTCCCTGTCCCCCTCACTCACCCTTTTTCAGCCACACTAGCCTTCTCACTATTCCTCACTCCTCCTTAGCACCTGCTCTGCTCTCCTTCCTGGCTTCTTCAAATAACTGGCTCCTTCCCACCACTCTTGTCTCGGACCACTCAATAGAAAGTAATCCTCCTACCCTGTCCACAGTGTGGGGAGAGGACTCTCCTCTCCCAGGGCCCCTATGTCACCATCATACCAAGTGCCTGCCCATGCTTGGTCAAGTTCAAGACTGAAACAATGTCTAACATCGTGGCTTTTGGTCTTTGAGGCCAAGAAGAGGCCTCTTGGGTCACAACACATGCCAGCAAAGCATATCTGCATTTTACTTCTTTTTTGTCCAGGATGATGTTGACACATGTGTACTCAAATAAATCAACCCTCCCATCTTAACCATCTCCCTTGACAGGAACAATAAGTTAATGTGCCAAACCAGGACTGACCTGGATGACTCAACCCCTGAAAAACATAAAGGAAATCATTGTGTTTTTCCGCTAGCAGGTATTGAAACATAGCCAGCTCACTCGTTTCTAGTTTTTTTCCCATGGCCATGGCCACTGACCTGCTCATGGTCATTTGTGTGATGTGCAAGTGCAGGGCTCGACTCCAGCCTTCCCCAGATGCTGCCTGTGCAACCAGCAGCTTCTTATTAGCTACGTGGCCATACATGGCTCAAGACTCCTTTGGTCGCAAGGGACAGAACCCAAATCAAATGGACTTAAGCTTCAAAGCAAATGTGTTGGCCCAAACATCTATGCGTGGCTGGATCCAGAGGGGGAAAAATATCAACAAGGAGTTTCTGTCTCTCAGCTCTTCCTTTTCTTGTGCTAGTTTCATTCTCAAGCCAGTGAACCCCAGGAGGTGGCAAATTGCTCTCTGGAAGCTCTGCCCTGTTATCTCACAGGACAGCAACCCAATAGATTGAGCATTTCTCTTTTCCAGTGGTTTCAAAAGTCCTAGAATTGACTCTCATTGGCCTGTCATGAGTTACATCCTTATCCCTGAATTTTTTTTTTTTTTTTTTTTTTTTTTTTTTTTTTGAGCCAGGGTCTTACTCTGTCTCGCAAGCTAGAATGTAGTGACACAATCACAGCTCGCTGAAGCCTTAACCTCCCAGGTTCAGGTGATTCTCCCACCTTAGCCTCCCAAGTAGTTGGGACTACAGGCATGTACCACCATACCTGGCTAATTCTTATACTTTTTTTTTTTTTTTTGAGACAGAGTCTCACTCTGCCACCCAGGCTAGAGTACTGTGGCACGATCATAGCTCACTGCAACCTCAAATGATTCTCCCACTTCAGCCTCCCAAGTAGCTGAGACCATGGACATGTGCCACTACATCCTGCTAAGTTTTATATTTTTAGTAGTGATGGGGTCCTGGCTGTTCTCAAATTCCTGGGCTCAAACAATCCACCCACCTCGGCCTCCCAAAGTGCTGGGATTGCAGCTGTGAGCTACCACACCCAGCCATAATTTTTTATACTTTTTGTAGAGATGGAGTTCCACCATGTTGCCCAGGCTGGTCTTGAACTCCTGGGCTCAAACTATTCATCTGCCTTGGGCCTTCCAAAGTGCTGGAATTGCAGGTATGAGCTGGTATCCCAAAATTCTAAACTTAGCCAGAAAGTAGTGATCATCAGAGGGGGGTCAGACCAGGATCATGTGACCACTTCTGAACTCAGGGTGGGTGGCAGGGTCTGATCCACCCAAACACAATGGGCTACAAACTCGCCTCTTCTGAAATCAGTGTGTTGGAATGAAGGAAAGCAATGTTGGGTGCTCGCATGCAACAGATTTCTGCCTCAGGTCTGTTTTCAATCCACTTTGTGCCCTTTGCACACTGCCATATGCCTCTCCTTCAAACCCACTCCTCTGGCTTCTGGAACTTTGGTCATGCCTGATTCTTCTCCTTCATAATCCCTCTGAGGCCCAGCCCCTAAATTTTGATTTTCCCCAGTGTTAAGTCCTTGCTTTTCTGTTACCTTTCACCTAACCACAGTGGCAGGTCCCACCTACCTATGAGCCTCCTGCACACACTCTGCCACTCATTCAGAGCATCCATGTGGATTTTCCATTGCACGGAGCTGCCTGGGTGTCTTACACGCTCAACAGTGAACCATTGACTGCCCATCTGAGCATTCTCTTCCTTCTCCTCTATTCCTTATCTTTCAGTGGCACCCCTAAATAGAGCCTTTAGTATCATTCACCATCCTTGCTCCCATTTGCCCCCACCACCTGCCAATATACCACTCAGGACCACAGCACGACAGATTCTGCATCCTAAATATCAACAGTCTGCTCTCCTCTCCCTCTTTACTGCTCTCATCACCTCTTTTGCCTGGAAAGTCACAACAGACTGTCTAGCTGGCCGTCACACCTCCAGGGCTGGTCCCTGGTGTGGAATGCTCTCCAAACCATCACCTTTCTAAAACTACCAATCTGTTCATGTTCCTTTCCTGATTAGATAACTGCTTTGTCTTCCCACTGCCTACTAGAAAAAAATTAACTCTTTAACTTTGCTCTCAAAGCCGGACGTGTCCAGGGTCTTTCCAGCCACTCCCGCCTTGAGTCCTGTGCCCTGCGGAACATTCTCTGCATACTCCGTGCTTCTACCTTTTTTTTTTTTTTTTTTAAGACAGGGTCTCACTCTGTTGCCCAGGCTGGAGTGCAGTGGCGTGATCTTGGCTCATTGCACCCTCTGCCTCTGGATTCAAGTGATTCTCCTGCCTCATCCTCCCCAGTAGCTGGCATTACAGGCTTGTGCCACCACATCCAGGTAATTTTTTGTATTTTGGTAGAGATGAGGTTTCACCATGTTGGCCAGGCTGGTCTCAAACTCCTGACCTCAAGTGATTCACTCACCTCAGCTTCCCAAAGTGTTGGGATTACAGGCGTGAGCCACTGTGCCCGGCCTTCATGTCTTTTTGATGAAAATCAAGGCTGATTGAGTCGGACCTGTGTCACATTATCTCTGGAAATATGACTGGACAGGGGGTCTGGGTGAGTCTCATTTGATTCTCTCTGGGTGCTCCGTTTCTCCTGAGGAGCTAGCTATTCCAGAATCTGGGGACCCAAGACATGTGTTATCTGTGTCTTCCAAAGGAGAGACTTCCATAGGATAGATATTTTTGGGGTCCATAAAGACGCTAGAGTGATAAAATGTGGTGTAACTGAGAGGTTCGTTCTTGCAGAAGTGCCAATGTAGGTAGGGTGCGGTAGGAGGATAAGAGGAGCTGCACTCCAGTGGACTCCCCCATCTAAGCGTGCTTCCTACTGTGACAGTTACCAGCACGATGATTTCCAGCACCTCTGTGGTGCCCTAGGGACAAGGTTGTTAACAGTCGGTACCAGGATCTGACTCAATCCATGAAAGAACCAGTTGACTGACCAACACAGAAGTATGGAGTAGCTACCATGAGCCCAGCCTTGTGGGAGACGCAAGAGTTATATAAAGAAGTTCTGCTCTCAAAGAACTCACAGTCTAGCTGGGGACACAAAACCAACAGACGGGAAACAATTAGTGAGCAATGGAGCTTGAAAAAATATGCCAAAGTGACTATAAAGGCAGCAGCAGTTCAGAAAGGGGAGAGATGATATTTCAGTGAGAGCATCCTTCCTGGAGGAGGTAGGGGAAGACCTGTGCCTTGAAGGATGGAAAGGGGCTTCAGAAAGGGAAGGGTGTTCCAGACAGGAGCAAACAGTAGGAGCAAAGCTGAAGAAGCAGGGCTAAGAATAAGGTGGGCGAGAGAGCCTGGCTGATCTGTGCAAGCCTGGGCAAGGTGTGGACACATAAATTATAATGGAGCAGCCAGGCATGGTGGCTCACGCCCGTAATCCCAGCACTTTGGGAGGCCGAGGCAGGCAGATCACCTGAGGTCAGAAGTTCGAGACCAGCCTGGCCAACATGGTGAAATCCTGTCTCTACTAAAAATACAAAAATTAGCCTGGCGTGGTGACGGGTGCCTGATATCCCAGCTACCGAGGAGGCTGAAGCAAGAGAATGGCTTGAACCCAGGAGGCAGAGTTTGCGGTGAGCTGAGATCGCACCACTGCACTCCAGCCTAGGGGACAGAACAAGACTCTTTCTAAAAAAAAAAAAAAAAAAAAAAAAAAAAGAGCAAGATTTGGAGGCCCCAAAAGTCAGGGGTTTAAATTTGATGTGTATTGAATTCACAAACATTTATTGCGTATCTACTGTGTGTCAGGTACTGTGCAGGACATTAACAGATGAACAAGTCACAGGGCAAGTCAGACACATCAATATCTCATGGTAAGTGCTGCAGTGAAAGTAGCTACCTAGCAGGCCAAGTGGGGCAACCAGCCAACCCAATTTAGGAAAGATTTAGGTGGGCTTCATGGAGGAGGTGATATTTATGTTAATCCTAGAGAGCACTGAAAGTAGAAGGGGCAGGAGCATGATCTAGGCACATGTAAGGATGTTCACTGCAGTGTTGTTTATCCTGGTGAAAAATGAGAAACAATTTAAACATCCAGCAAAAAGCAACAAGTTAAACAAATTTGGTCCACCCACATGAAACCCCAGGCAACCTTTAAAAAGAATAAAGAATTTCTGTATATTTTGATTTGGAAAGATCTTGGAGATACAGTGTTAAGAGAAAAAAAATCACAAGATCCAGAAAAAATATACTGTGTGCTGTCTTACATGTGAGAAAAAAAGAAATATACATTTTGTGGGTAAATGACTAGGCCATCTCTGGAAAGAGACATGAGACATGTGGATAAGAGTTGTTTCCAGATAGAAGAATGAAGAGGGGAATACAGCTGAGGCTGTGACACAATCTTGATGTGAAATGACTCCAAAAGGAGGTATTGCTTAAAGCTTGAGTCTTAGAAGGTGCTGAGGGCTACCCAGGCAGATGGGTGAGGAATAGGGTTCTGGACATAGGGGACAGTCCAAATGAGCCCGGCTGTTTAGAGACCCTGATAGGGCTTGGAGAGAAAGTAGACTTTGGATAGGTGGCTGATAGGCAGGCAGAGGCTGGACCCTGAGATTGGTGTGCCACATAAGGAGTTCACACTTCAGTCTAAAACCACGCCCTCTCTCCATCCATCAGCATTGACGTGGACCTGTGATGGATTCAGAGACTGTTAACTTGGCCACACTCAACTGCATTTCCTGGAACTATCTTTCCTGCATGTTTGCAGTTAAGATGGACCACAAGGAATATTCTTGGAAGATTCTTGCAAGATACAGAAGGCAAGAGAGGCTGCAGCTGTGTTTTGCAGTTGGCACACATTGCTGCTGATCTGCTGACTCACCTCACTGGAGTGAAACAGCTGCCACAACACCCGCAACCTTCTCCCGTATCTTCTTGCTGCTTTTTGACTTCCGGCCGTGTGTATGTGTTCAGCTCTGTGATGAAGGGCTAGGCTTCTGCAGGACAGCCTCATCACTGTGGTTAGAGGCAATAAGAACAGCCATGGGCTTCAGGCTGCAATCCTGGGACTCTGGCTTGTGCTCGTGGGTTCCCGCCCTCCCTACTTAACATCTGTCTTTCCTCTCGACTGCCTATCCTGTGGACCTAACACCAGCATCAGACTTGAGACGCAGCCTTGCAAAGACTGTTTACCTGGTTCCCACAAATGCGTAAGCCAATTCTCCGTAACAAATCCCCTAAAATAATTGATATGTATATATGTCCTATTTCTACTTTTTCAGTTGAACTCTGGCAGATTCACCCATCCTGTGCTAGGCGCTGTTGTGGACTCTGAGGAGATACAATGATGAACAAAACCAGTGTAATTCCTGCCTTCCTCTCCCCCATGCCCTCCCCACCATTCACTTTCTGGGAGGAGGAATCAGAAAATAACGAATAAATAATGCAATCCCAGAGAGTGATAAATGCCAGGAGAAAACCAAAAAGAGTGACCTACTTGGACCAGGGGTAGTTCAGGGATGCTTCTCAGAACAAATGGCATTTGAGCTGAGCCCTGAAGGGAAGGAGGGGACAGCTGTGCAGGAGCTCTCTGGACAACAGGCACTTCAGGGCAATGCTCCGAGGTGGCATGAGCCCGGAGTCTTTGAGGAACAGAAAGGAGACAGGCAGACCAGAGGGCTTGAGGAGGGAGAGAGCTCAGGGTAAGCTGGAACCCAAGGCTGGCTCCAACCTTGTTGGACTTGGAAGACAAAGCAGGGAGTTTGGATTTTATTTTAAGAGCATCCTGGAGTTAAAGGATCTTTCAAAGTTGGCCGAGTGAGTGCCCACACACAGCTTTGCCTTTGAAAAGCGGGGATAAAATGTGGTCTTGCTCTGTGTGTGTGGGCGGGGGGAGGCAATTTGTGTCTTGGTTTTTGCCTCGGCGTGACTTACAGACCTTTCCATCCTACACCAGTGCCAGGAGAGCCCAGCTCCCTACTGCTCTCACCAGAATTCCATCTTCCCGAGGAAATCAGGCTTCCTCCTGCTAAGGAGTTCTGTCCAGGCCTGTGATAAAAGCATTATGTGAAGCTGAGTAACTTGTGTGATTTTACGCTTCATTTCCTTGGGATGCCATTAGGAACATCAAGCACTTCTATCTTTATTCGACACAATTTCCTATCCTGTTCTGCCTTGGAACAGAAGAAAAACGAAAAGAGGGAAATGGTATTGGGAAGTTGGATTGGGAGTGGTAGGGCAGCCATTTCAGGGCAGGGCTTTTGAAGTCCCCCAGAGGGAGAGGCTCTGGAAACAGGATGGATGGCAGCCACCTTCCCAAGGGGTCACTGGTCAGCCTCACGTTCTCTGGCTCCTGTTCCAAGCCTCAGCATTTCTGTCTAATTGATTAAAAAATAATGTATTTATTGGACAGATGCCTGGAGATCAGGTAGCCCAGAGAAGGGAAGCTATTTGCCCAAGGTCACGCAGCAGCTCTGTAGCATAGTTTGGCCTTGGAGATAGCTCTTTCGACTGCCAGGGCAGCCCTGAGCACCCCTCAGAGAAGAGTTAGTTTCTTCCCCAAGTCTCCTACAAAGACCAGTACCTCCTGTATTTGGTTCTCTGGGACAATTGGTGTCTTTTCTCACTGTGGAAATGTGATCACTTAGATCTTGATTTAGTTCGCAAGCAGGAGTGGAGCAGGGTGGGGTGCACAGGCTGGAGGCAACCAACACAGGAAGCATATGGCAGGGTAAAAACGCAGCCCGCCCGGCGTGCAGTGCCGTGTGCCCCCACTGCATTGGACGAATGGGTCAGTAGGTGGATGGTGGTCACACGTGAGTGCTGGCTTCACTCTCTTCTCTCTCATAATTTAAAGACCTGAAGTTCCACCTCCAGGAAGCCTTCCTGGACTAGTGGAAGATCAATCTTTGGCCTGAACCAGTTACCTAGGCAACTTCCACTGTTTCTGGACTCATGAGTCCTTCTGGTAAGGGTCCCAGGACTGAGTCTCAATGGCCTGAAGCGGGTCACTTGCCCATACCTGTGACCACTTAGTGGCTATCACCGGGGTGTGAGGCTCATCTGGTCTAGCCTGGTCACCTGCTCACAACAGAGCTAGAGCTGGACCAGGCCTCCCGATGTGTGGACTGAAGCACCAGGGTGCTGTCCTGAGGAAAATCAGGGTGCTGTTACCAGAACACCCTGGCGAGCAAGAAAGAACAGTGAGCCCTACAGATGGCAAACAAGGATTTCCTTATCTCCTGGTCAGAACCACTAAGAACTGTGGAATCATGTGTACTTAATTCATGTCTGTACTATCCTCACGCAAAGTGGGGGCTTTGTAAATATTTGCTGAGTGAATGAATAAATGAATAGTAAGTGAATGAATGAACCTCCCGAGTGATAAAGGCAGTCTTTACAGTGGACACGAGGCAGGAACTACTGTGTGCAGGGAACGGCTGCGGGCTCCACACTCGGTGTGATTGGCCAGTGAAGCAATCTCTGGTGCCCAGGCTGTTTGGACAGTGTGCAGGGCCACAGCAGGCAGGATAGCGCCCCTGCCAAGGGCACTTGGGCTTGAAGTTAGAGCAGGGAGGCTGGCATGCTGGTGGCAGGGCTGAGGCTCAGGGTGCAGCTCAGTGTGAAATGAGGGCTGCTCTTCTCAGACATGGCAGCCTTGGCCAGCGGCCCTCGTCCTAGAGAAACTTTGGAGGCAACAGATGGATCTGGGGTGATAGGTATGCTAATTTCTCTCACTTCATGGAGGCTGAGCCGTCACAGATCAGAACGGAGAATGGATAGGCATTTCTGCTGGGATAGGGGTGGTTGCAGAAGGCCTGTAGAACATCTGGGAGCAAGGATGGGACAGCATCTCTATCTACCCCAGAGGCGGACCTCAGCCTGGCTGGTGTCCCCTTCCTGTCCTTAGTCCAGCCCTCCGGGTCCCAACCAGCAGGGCTGAGCCAATGACAATGGCAATGGAACTGAAGATTTTTGTTTTCAATGCAGGAAGTTCCAACAGGCAATCTTCAGCCTTGGGAAGGGGTGGGCAGAAGGGGCCACCCATGTCCGAAGGCAAAACAAGGCTGCTTTGGGATGTGTTTCATGCAAGTCCTGTGATTGAGTTTCCCATGCGCAGGGAACAGCTTTTTCACAGATTTTCGGTCTTTTAAAATGAGAGGCACATGGAGGGTGGAAGAATTTGGTGGTCCCCAAGGACCTGCTGGGAAAAAAGCATCCCCAGGCTCTTGGCTCAGGCTGATGAAGCATCTAGATTTTCAAGATCCCGCCTAACTGGGCTTCCCCTAGTGGAAAGGCGGGATGCCACAGTTTCTTCTGTGCTCAGCACCGAAAACAGTCTGTCTCACTGAGCTCTCTTTTACAGACAAAGAAGCCATTTCAGAGAGCTCGGGTGACCTGAGGTCATGGAGAGGCAGAGTCAAGATGGAACTCAGGTACGTCTGGCTCCAGTTCCCACCTCCTGACCACTGAATCATGTTGATTTGGGGGAAACCTACCAGCATCACCCATGATAATCTTAGTTAAGGCCACTCAGCTGAGAGCACCTTGTAACCAAGTCCTTGGGGACCTCACAGAGCCGCCAGGAATAGGAGCTGGACTCAACCACAGACAGATACTGACAGAGCAGCTACTCTGTGCCAGGCAGGGATCTGGCTGCTGGGGATGCCTCTGACGGACAGGAGACACACAAGAAGGATGGTCAGGGAAGGCTTTCAGGAGGAGGTGACATTGATTCAGAGACCAGTAGTAAGCCACGAAGCTGTCACAGGGAAGAGTATCACAGGGAGTGGGAAGAGCAGGGAGTGGAGGGGAAGCCGTGAGGCTGGAGCATGGCAGGGGCCAGAGGTGAAGAGCCTACCAGGCCGTGAGGACTTCGGGTCTGTTGAGTGTAGTCAGATATTGCTGTTTCCTGGAACATCTACATGTGGGCATCTCAGGGGCTCCCGCTTCAGCTCTGAAAAGCTTCAGGCCCCTGAAGGGCTACAGTTCCTGAGGGGAGCAGTTCCTCCAGGCCAGACACAGCCAATCAGGCCTTCCCAGCTACGGCTATGGAGAAGGTTTGGGTTGGCCTTTTCTTTTAATATTGGTCTGGTGAGCTCCCACCACCTGGGTGGTCTCATCCCCACATCCTGATGGTCACCTGTGCTTGATATCACTTGGGATGAAAGGATTCCAAAGCCCTTCTCCTGAAATTTCTACAGAACATCTCTACATGACACATACACAGAGGGCAGTCAGGGAGATTTACCAGTTAGAACCAACCCTTCCTTCCTTCCTTCCTTCCTTCCTTCCTTCCTTCCTTCCTTCCTTCGTAGCCTTTATTGTACTTCTTCCTTTATACTTTGCTTCTTGGCCTTCATGCCCTCCCTCTCTCATGCTCCTCTCTCCCTCCCTCCCTCCTTCCTTCCTTCCTTCCTTCCTTCCTTCCTTCCTTCCTTCCTTCCTTCTTTGCTTCCTTCCTTCCTTCCTTCTTCCCTCCCTCTCTCCATGCTCCCTCTCTCCCTCCCTCCTCCCTCCCTCCTTCCTTCCTCCATTTCTTCTTCCCTGCTTCCCTCCTTCCTTGCTCCCTCCCTTCCCTCCCTGCTTTTCTTACTTCCTTCCCTCCTTTCCTTCCTTCCTCCTGCCCTTCCTTCCGCCCTCCCTCTCTTTCTTTCATTCTTTCTTTCTCCTTCCTTCCTTCCTTTCCGTCCTCCCTCCTTCACTTCTTCCCTTTCCTCCTTCTTTCCTTCCTTTTCTCCCTCTCTTCTTCCCCTCCCTCCATCCTTTCTTTCTTCCTTTTTGATCTTTTTTGTCTCTCAGCATCAACGAACCTCCAGCTGGCCCTGCTTTTTTTCCAGGAATGTTTATGGCACTCTTTCCCACTTGTTTTTATTTCCAAACATGTGACAGGCCACCTATCAAAGGATGGAATAGGGAAGAAAATGAGAAGAGAGAGGTCGAGGGAGCAGCCGTGGGGTAGCTGCTTCTGGCCTTTGAGTAAGTCCTTTGCCCACTCGATTTGTCAGTTTATTTGGCTCTCGATGGGGAGGCATCCGTCCTTGACCCTCGGAGAGTCCTGAGAGACAGGAGAAGAGGGGTTCTCCATGGAAGTGAGGGGTTCCCCAGCAGGGAGCCTAGAGAGAAACGGCTCCAGACCAGGCTTTCCTGGCTCGGTGATGCTGACAGTGGGGCTGGTCTGCTGTGGGCCATCCTGTGCATTGGAGAATGTCTAGCAGCACCTCAACCTTAAACTCTGACAACCAAAAATGAACCCAGACATTGCCAGGTGTTCCCTGGACACAAAATCACCATTGGCTGAGAACCACAGGTCTCCGTGTCCAGAGGCCCTGCAGGGTGCCCCATGGCCAGTAGCCGTCTGGACTTGCTGACCCACAAGAGGCTCTTGGTGACGCAGGGCTGCAGCACATCACACAACATGGAGCAGATTTGCCAGCAAGGCCCCGATCCAGGAGAGACTCTGCCCCACAGCAGCAGGTGTGAGGCAGCCCCCTACTCCTGGGCCATGAGCATCATTGCCCAGGAGGCTGGTCTGGGTGTCCTGGAGTGGGTGTGGCCTCCTCTGATTACTCAGAAAGGCAGCAGAGGTGCAGAGAAGCCTCCAGAAGCCTCTGGGGCCTGCTGCTCTGTGTCCTGTGGCAGTACCAGCCCCTGCGGTGGAGGGAGAGATGCCGCGACAGGCAGGAGTGTGAGTGTTTCCAGCCATCAGGTTCCGTAGGGGAGCACGCCGTCCCAGGGGAGGCCCAGATGGGGCCCAGCAGACCGTTAAGAAAGCTCTCCTCTATGGCTCTCCGAACTGTGGTGGGTATGGCCTGACCTTGACTTCCCGTACACTTGCATTTTTCTTTTATTTCCCCTGGTTCTTGACTCCGGAAAAAGTAGGGAAACATATACAGTGACCATACTGTTGACGTCTCAGTCAGAGAAGAGGAACGATTTCACAGTAGCGGGGGGAAAGCGCCGGATACCATGTGCACTCATAAATCACGCCCACGTTTATGCATCTGCGGGTGTGGGGCCGCAGATATTTTTCCTTTCTCAAGAAAAGAATGTAAGCTCTAGAAACTCTGACAAGGCCCCAGTAAATGGAGCTTTTCTCCTGCCTGCTAAGGGTGGCTTTCAGAAGAGTGTTTGTCAAATGGAACCTGAGTCACCTTTTCCTGCTCTGCTGGATGGGCAGGAGCCGAGCATACCAGGGCAGGGGTCTCCCCTCTGAAGACCTGACCCCTGGGGAAGGCAAGCAAGATTTTCTTGCAGAAAGTTCATGGAATTAGAGACAAGAAAGGTGTCTTCCTAGGGGCGTTCATGGCACCCTAGTGTCAAGGGCAGTGGCAGGCACAGCAGAGGGACTTGACAGGCACCGAATGAGTGACTTCTTGTTCCCAAATTGGCAGGAGGGTTGACTTCTGTGTGCAGAACATTTCCCATTGCCCATCTGGCAGCCGCATGCTTCTACCCCATCACTGTCATTCCCTCTCTGAGTCAAGTTCACAGTCACTAGGCTGCGAAATGACTGCTGAATGCACTATCGATCAAACAGCACATGTTTTGAACATCTATCATGTATATGCCGCTAGGTTAAGACCTAGAAAGTATATGGGGCTTTGGGGAGGGGAAGGAGGTTCTGTTAGGAAGGAGGGCAAATACATGGCACACCTAACCCCACCCTCCCCATCCCACACTCCTAGCAGACACTGCTAAACCATCACCACATGTGGAGCTTCAGAATGCTGGTTGACAGAGAGCTCTGGGCTGCTCCTTCTTGGGAAGGGCTTTCCGTGCATGGCTCTGGGAGGTAAGGGGCCACCCACTTGACCAGCCGGAGATGTGCCACACGGATCCTGGTGATCAGTGGTGTAACAGACATCACAGACCAATCACCCGCATGTCACCCTATGCTGAGTATTAGATACCTTTAGGAGGTCATTCCAGCAGTGGCGGCAGGAGAATTAGAGGCCTTTGGGAAGACACCCAACCCTCATAATACAAAGAATCTTAAGAGACAAAGTCACAGATGATGATGGCCAGTTGAGACCATGACAGTAGGCCCAAGCTTTCTGTGATATTGCGGCTCACCTCCACAAAGGCAACCCTGAAAGACTTCCTGGAGGTGGTGATGTGCCATTGTGTTAGCAGTTTCACCTCTCCTAGGTGAGACAGTGCCAAACTCCTCCTGCTTATCGGAGCCTTCCAGACCTTACTGTTTTCTAGCCAAAGTGGCCTTGGGCACATGCCTAGAACTGGCCAAGCCCTTCCCCACCTCAAGGACTCTGTTCTCTGGCTGCCTCGGCCAGGAATGGTCTTGCCCTAGCTCATTTGATGGCTGGCTCCTTCCTGTCCTTCAGGTCCGCAAGTCCCTTCCTCGGAGAAGCCTTCCAGCCACACTCTCTCCTGTAAGTCTCTGTCCTGGTTCCTTGTTCATTTCCTTCACGTGACTCTTCTACTAGGATGTGAGCTGGCCTGGCCTGCTCACCACGGTGGGCCTAACGCCTAGTGCTAGGCATATTTAGGTCCTCCATAAATATTTGTCCAAAGAATGAAGAATGAGTGCACCTGCAGTGGTCTCCATGGGAAGTACCGGCCACAAGGCCAGGGCTGTCAGGTTGCTATAGAGCAGTACTTTGCATTAAGTATTTCACCGAATCCTGGTTGCTACTCTGAAGTTGTCCATAACTCTTCCCCTGTGGAAAGCCGCATAGCAACTTATGTCCCCGGCATGAGCTCATCGGTCCTCTGCGAAGTTACTTCTGCATCTCTCCCGACCCCGATCAGTGGGGGCTCTGCTTTCCCTAGGTAAGCACAGGAGGCAAGTGACTGGTGTGGTCAACCCACTGGCTGGTGGCTAGAAAATCATCCATAAATCATGTAACCTTGACATGGAAAAACATAAACATCAATGTATTCACTTGGCCAAGGCTCGGTTCCAGAAACCAGAAGTCTGAAATCAAGGTGTGACCATGCTCCCTCCAAAGGCTCTAGCTGAGGATCCTTCTGGCCTTTTCTGGATTCTGCGAATTCCTGGTATTCCTCGGTTTGTGGCCGCATCGCTCCCGTCGCTGCTCTGTCCTCACACGGCCCCTCTTCCCTATGTGTCTTGTGTCCTCCTCTGTTCGCAGAAGGACACCATCATTGCACTTAGGGCCCACCCTAAAACCAGGATGATTGCACCTCAAGATCCTTTACTAATGACATTGGCAAAGAACTTATTTCCAAATAAGCTCACTCAGGTTCCAGTGGACATGGAATTTGGAGGGATTCCCAGGGTCATCAGGGTGTTGGCTGGCTATGGGCAGATGTCCCTGGGTACCCAGGACTTCCCACAGGCCCAGAGGACCCCAGAAGAGCAGCCAGACTGCTGCTGTTCACGTCCTCCTGGTGGTCCTCACGCCTCCAGCCCTGCTCCTCCTTGGCATGGAGCTCCTTCTCAGTGGGGTCTGCTTCTGCCCCCTCACTTTCCAGAGTCGTTTTAGAGATGCCACACATCACATTTCTTTTCTTTTGGGGCCTGGTGAAGGTAAGGTCATGTTGGATTCTATCATCTTCATCAGCATCAGCAGTTTTCACTTTGTGTTTTGTTGGGTATGTGTGTTTTAAAACTTTGTTTTGTTTCTTAAAAGGCTCACTAGGGCCAGAGTGTCTTTAGGGCCTTGTAATGTTTGCTGCAGCTGACAGAGGATCCATTGTCCACGGGGCTGGCGTACTCTGGGGAGATGTAGGTCTCCTTCCTCCTGGGGCCTGGGGCTGGTCTCAGCTGCCCTCCAACCAGGCTTCGCTGGGAAGTGGGCTGCAGAGTGGACTCAAAGAGAGTTATAAACCCCAGGCGGGAATGCGGCATGGGTCAGAATGCTTGGGTTAGAATGGAACAATTGACAGCCTGGGAGATCAGACTTCTCCTCTCATTCCAGGCCTGGCCGTTACAGGCTGCAGATGCAGGGACTGTGAGGAGCTCAGCCGGGAGGGTGTGCAAGACCGGGCCTCCTTTTCTTCCTGCTGGGGTCAGTGAACAGGAACAAGTAAACCAGGGCTCTGCCCTCATGGAACCCCCCATCCGTGAGGCCAAAAACATGCAAACAAGAAGCCCCGATACAGGGCGAGGAGGGCTGGGGACAAGGGGATTGGAGGGAGTGGAGGGACCCTGAGCTGGGGTCCAGGGGCCGGGAGGAAGGCTTCAGAAGGCCCTGGCTTTGCTCGCTCTCCTTTGCCCTGCCCACCCCCACCTCCCTGGTCCAATCCAGGTCATCTGGGCCACTGTGAAAGTCCCCCACGGGACTCCTGGGTTCCCTCCTGTACCCCTAAACATTCTCCACACAGGAACCAGAGGGAGCTTTTATAAAGAAGGTGGAGGCTGGCGTGGATGAAGTTACATCAGATGGTCTGACTGGACGTGACTACAGCAAAGTTTCCAACTCTGTATCTTCCTAAATCTACCCAGCTCTCCGACCTCAACCTTCTGTACTGTCTCACCTTATTCCTTGGCCAGTGAGAGCAGTAGCTGGGACATGAGTGAGTTCCAGGCACGGTGGGCATGGTTTGTTCTGAGCTCCCCCAGCCCAGCCCACCCCTCTTTGGAGAGCTCCTTCTCTTCTGGCGTTTCTCTGACTCCTTTGGGGCGGAGATTGACAAGGATCTCCACCTACAAATCCTCTATTCTGTGAAAGTCACACACCGCTTTGGAGACCAAAACAACCAACTTCACCTAGATTTGCAGGGTCCTTGATGTCGACCAAGGGCCTTTGAGGAAAGACTTCTCAGTGAGGGGATACGTGTCTCCCTTCAGTAGAAACAGCTAGAGTTTCCAACTGGATTCCAGACGGCTTTGGGGAAATTCACGGCTACCATTTTCAAGTGGCTTCAGCAGCACCCGGCATGGAGGGTGCTCAGTAGCTATTCTTGTAAACCAGATAATAATACGAATAACAAGGTAAACACTAGTGGTTCTTTCTTGGGCCCTTGTGAGGTGCCAGTGTCTGTGCTAAGCATTTTGCATGCTAAACACTTTACCTGTAATGGCAGGACACAGTCCTACCCTCTGATGGTGATGACCAGATGTGTTTGGACCATGGGCACAGGAGACAGACACGGGTGGACATTTGCACAGCCCTCTGGAAGCTCACATCGAGTTAGAAAGACAAGATGTCGAAAACTGCACTGCTGATAAGGGTTAAACAGCCGTTTGATACAACAATAGAAGAGATATTCAAGGCAGGGCATGATTAATTGCCTGGCAAATCGTAGGGATGATAAATGTTTTAGGAACTCAGAGAAGGAAGCCATTTCTCCAAGCAGGGCAGAACAGACAGACACCGGGGGATAACTGTGCCTTTTCAAAGGGGGGCCATGAGGCTGCTCTCTGAGGAGGTCATTGTCACACAGTGGGGGTTGGAAGGGTGCCCTTTGACCTTTTTTACTTTTCAAGGACTAGGTCAGTATTCGGTCGCCCACTTGCCACAATCTAGCTACGCTGGAGTCTTTAGGAAATCAGCTAGTTCAGGGAATTGGAGAAAAAGCGAGAGCATGCTTTTTATTCCCTTTCCCACCATTTCAACCTCTCCAGGACAAGCCGTCCATCTGTAGTCTCCCCTCTAGAAAGTGGTACTGGAATTTGGTGTTCACATTATGTGAGAAAAGGTTGAAGGTGCTGGCTTGGAGCCCCCAAAGCATGTAGGGCATCTCCCCCTTGGCAAGTGGGTCCCACATAATTTTACAAAAACATATCATTTTCATGGTAGTGGTAAGACTGATAAGTGTTCGGATTTTGCCCAAAATTTCAAGAGGCTAGAGCTGAGAAGTTCCTTTGAAGCTCTCAGAGCCCTGAATTGTGTTCCGTTTGGGTATCTATTAAGAAAACAGCCATTTCATCACGGCTCGTAACATAAATTGGTTCATGGATGCCCAAGGCTTTATCTCATTAAATCCTGTCGCTCTCTGTAAATGGTGTTCAGGCTGTTTCTCTGCGAGCAAGGTTATCTGACTGTTTAGAAACTCCAACCCTGGATAGTGAGATGCTGCTATCTGCAGATTTGGGAGAGACAACCGGCATTTCCCAAAATGCAAACAATCTCAAAAAGCTCACAGGTCTGGAAGGAAGGGCGGAAGTGGGGCAGGGGGCAGCTGCTGCCCAGACCAGCGGGGCCTGCTCTGGGCTCTGGCTATCCCCAGCAGTGAGAAAGCAGGTGGCTGATGATAAATCACAGGGCTGTCAACTGCAGAGGCTGACTGGTGACATCACAGCTGGGGAGGGGGCTTCGGGAGCCAGAAGAGGCCCACAGAGAAGTGTGTTGGTAGCTGAATTAGACATAATGGCTCTACACATATTCTCTCTCTTTTCCTTTTTCCCCCTCAAATCTGACTCGAATTTCTCATGAACAAACCAACATCTGCAAAAGCACATCCTTGTCGCCAATGTTAAGAGCAAGTAAGTGGTCCTGGAGCCCCTCCCTGAGCTGTGATGCAGTCTTAGAAGGTGGCCACCATGGAACCCTAGCCAGTGCAGTTCTAGGGGGCAGTCAAGGGCTAGGCTTTGGGGTCAGAATTTGGGTCAAGTCCTGCCTATACCACTGGACTTTGAATGAGTTACTCAGCCTCTTTGTCTCAGTTTCTCCACCTGTAAAATGGGTTTGTGATGAGGACAAAGTCAATCAGTGCATCCCAGGAGTTAGAAAGTGCAGGGTCTGGGCAGGAGCAGCCATGAGTGGGGTGTTGTCTGTAGGAGGAGACCCTCACACTCAGGGAGGTGTCAGCCTTGCTGGGACAGCAGGTACAGTTCGACTGAACCCCCTCTAATTTTTGTCCAAACCATCTAAAGATTTGGGCCATGGTGTTCTTTCCCGTAGCCCTGCCAAGGACAGGCAGAGGACGGCTGCTAGAGAAGGGAGTGGCATGGGTCAGCTTGCCTAGAAGTCAGAGGGATGCAGGGGGCAGAGATGGGGAAGGCTGAGGTGCTTATGGGTTTCCTTGGTGGGGCCAGGGCCTTGGCTTGGCCCCTGAAGATAGCCCAGCAAGAATTTCCAGGCTGGACACGATGGCAAAGCCGAGAGGTAGCAACAGCCTGGTGTTCACCGCATAGCCAGGAGCAGCGGCAGGAGGTGGGGGAGGGAGGGGAAAGGGGATGGGGAGTCTGTTGTTCTTTTAAAATTAGAAATAAGTTCCACATGTGGATGGTCCCCACGGAAAGCGGCCTCGGCACTGAAGGCCCTGGCAGTCATGTGAAGGCAGGCTCTCAGGGGGACAGGTCTTGGGCAGCACAAGGCACCAAGTATTTCATCAGTTGTCTGAGTCATTAGAGGAAAACAATATTCCGTGAGCCCCCTGGCACACAACGCCATCAGGACAAGAAGCTGGAAGGAAGTAAGAAGACAGCCTTCCAGAAACCCTAGACAAGATGCTCCCCAGTGATGAGGCTGGGGAGAGAGAGAGAAGTTCCTAGAAACAGGAACAATAGTGGCTGCTCCACAGCCCCCAAGGCCCTTTGCCCCACTGGCCACCAGTAATAAGACTGGGCCTGGTCTGCACAGACACTTTCAGAGGCTGCCACCCCTTCTCCCCTTCTGCCAGGATAGAGCCCAAACCCCTCATCTGGCCCCCGAAGCCCTTCAATAGGGGGACAAGAACTACGGTGAGAGGAGCATGGCTCCAGAGCTGACATGCCCAGGAGGATGCCGGCTCCAGGAGCTGCTGGGCAGCCGCTTCCCTCCAGGGGACCCACTTCTCCAGGCATGTGGGCATCATGGTGGTGAATCCTTCCCATTGAGTCCTTGTCATGAGCACTGAGTGGCAGGACACACACAGCTTGCAGAATGCTGCCTGGCACATATAAGTGCTCATTAGCACACAGTAAGTGCTCATTAGCAAGGGCTTCTAGGATTACCTTTCTAGGCTTTTCTGCACGCCCAGCGATGTTGCATGCACAGCTTGCCTCTGTTGTCAAGTTCATCAAGATATCACAAACCACATTCTGAGGATATGCCAGGCAGGGGGCAAACACACAACAAACGTCATCTTGTGTCATTCCTTTGCAAGGTAGGCCCCCTTTCACTTGTCAGAAAAGAGGATCCAGAAGTGGAAGCGGTTTCAGCAAGGTCACATGGCCAGAAAGCTGTGAAACAAAGATCTGAACCCAAGACTAAATCTTCTTATCCACTTCCCTTTTTTACCTCCTCCTCAAATGCCTTTCTCTGCCCCCTCACCACTGCCATACCCATGAGCACCTCCCCCACTCAATTGTCCTGGCCCACTCCAAGGCCAACCCCACCTGGCGCCATCTTGGTTCACTCAACGGGACCTGGGTGTCATTCCTCAGCTCCTCCACTGGCCTTGCCCTCCTCCATCTTGCACTGTGGTTTCCTGGGGCTGCGTCTGGCTTCCTTCCAAGAAAGGGACCCCCTGGCAGGTAGCAGGCATCCAACCCGTAGTGTTTAGTGGAATTAGGAATCACATGAGCCTCATGGTCTCAATGGGCCTCACTCTGCTGTTGTCCATGGGTGCCACAGACTCTTCCAGAAGAGCCACTTCCACAGATGCAACAGGCCTTTTGAAGGAACCTAGTTCTCAGCATGAGCCCGGGTGGTCAAGGTGAGAAACCCTAGGAACCCACACTTCTCATTTCCTTAGAATTCCTTGGACTCTGTGAAGAGGAAGGAAAGGAAGAAAAAGAAAGGCAAGGAGGAGAAGAAAGAGCAAAAGAAAGAGAAAGAAGATGAGGGAGAGCAGACACAAGAGCAAAGACATAGCAGGAGGGAGTGCGAAGCCAACGTGTGACCTCCTCACACAGCACTGTAAGGACGCATGGAGCATTGATTCCCAGCACGGCATTCCCGATCAGAAATAGCCAATAACCAAACCTCTTAAAGCTCCTGCCTCTAATAGCAGCATTTCTTCCACTGTCGTCAGTGGTAACACACTGATCTATAAAAGGTTTTAAAAGTGCTACAAATAGCTCCTCCAGTCCCCTAAAGTCAAGCTCACTGGGGGAAATGGCTAACTTGATTGCTCCCTGCACCGTTGGGTATCTGGACGCGATGAACAGAGTGAGCTCACCTCAGGACTTTTAGGGCAGCCTAGATACTTCCGGAGTGGGGTGGAGGGCCCCCTGGGCTAGGGGCTATCTGGCCACTGTCCCTCTGCCCTTCACCTCCTTCCTCTCTGGGATGGGACAAGGGTGAGGCAAGCAAGGCATTGTACTTAAGCTGGTACTCACTCACAAGGGGTGCTAGTACAGGATTGGACTCTGAAGGTGAGCGCCCCCTTAAATTAGTACCCTGGGCATCTCACTTGAGTGGGAGAGAAGGAACACAGGGCTCTGCCACGTGGCCTCACTTTCCTCATCCATAAAATGGGATTACCTATCCCCGTCTTGGCAGCTATTTATTGACCTCGTACATTGCACCAGGCACTGTTCCAGGTGCTGGATTTCCAGAGACAGGAAGTACGTCTGCACTCAGAGCTCACAGCCCGGTGGAGTAGGCAGGGGGAGGGAGGGACCCTAGCCAAGCACCACTGTGTTGCATGTGAACTCCAGTTTAATAGGTCCAATGACTGCCAGGTGGCCAGGGATACAGGCTGGTGCCAACATCTGCAAAGCATGTGGCAAGGTTGGGGAAACCGTGTCCCAGCAGTGATAGAAAAATGCAGGGACACGGGCTGAGGGGAAGCCAGTGAAGCCAGCTGCAGAGCGGGAGGGCAGGGCAGGTCACGCCACCCAGGAAGGTTGGCCTGCCTTGCGTCACACTGAGACGTGCAACTTAGGGGCCCCTCTCCGCTGTCACCCTTAAGGCTCACAGCCACTAGGCCGCTTCCCAAACCATCTGTGATCTGGACAATTCTGAGCTGTGTCTCATCCAAACCTACCTCTCCCCTGTCACTGGGTGCCTAGTCTCTTGCTAAGTGTCAGCAACACATTTTTATCTACACTAAAGAGTCATTATGCTGCTACTATTTATTCTAGAAAACATAGGTCCATTTTCAACAGGACAGGCTTTCTGCCTGCTTTCTCGTCTCCAAAAAAGGCCCCTAATGATGGAGATGTGAGTCTGGTTTGGGCTCAGCCAAGAGCAGAGGGCTCATGTTTACCATGCTCTTCCCAGTTCCCTGGCCCTCACGGATGTTTCCAAATTTCTTTTCTGAGCTCTTCTTTTCTGAGCCGGCCTCTGTCCTGCTGGTGGGCACGTTAACACTAGCTGACAGATAACAGGCAGGCATGTGGAATCACACCTTCCTGCTTTCTGAGGAGGGACAAGAGTCTGGAGCTGGTGCTCCATGACATCTTCCTGTAGAAGCTTCTGGGCTGCATCTAGAAGAATAACCCATCAGGAGGAGAGAATCAAGATCCACACTCCTGATCACACCCCACAGGTTCATCTCTGCAAGCGCACCTCTCGCCACCTCCCCCTGCTCTCCAGCCCTGCTGACCTCCCTGGAATATGGAATCATGTTCCTGCCCCAGGGCCTCAGCACGAGCTGCTCCCTCTGCTCAGACACCCTCTTTTAGCAGCTCTCCCAGTTGCTCTTTCTTGCACCATTGCACCTACTTTTCTGCCTTGCTGTTCACACGGGCCTTCACTTAGCATGCATCTGCTGAGCGCCTACTGTATGCAAGCCCTGTACTCAACACAAAGATGCACCAAGATCAGCATGGCTCCGACCATATGGGGTTTGCATTCAGTACACAAATAAGTGTGGACGGTCATTCCAGGCAGTCCTAGTAGCTCTGAAAACACATGGAGCACGACCCCTTGATATCGGCTCTGTTTCTCACTATTTATCTGTTTCTGTTTGCTGTCTGCCCTCCCCCTGGACCGTCAGCTTCATGAGGTTGGGGCTTGGTGCTGACATTTTCTCTCTAGAAGCTTCTGGACCATACTCAGAAGAGCAACCCATTGTGGAGGGGGCTGCCCCTGGTGGGGATGGGGGCAACTTTTC